ATGTAGGTTCAGAGCCAGTTCCATTACCTGTTAATCATTTAGTAAGTCACACTATACCTGCACATGTACATGAATGTATAAAAACAGGCTTTGACTTTCTTTACATTTTCTGATACATATTGATGTACTTATGCTGTGTAGAAAGTTTGAACTGATTCCGGCTTAAATTTTTCAAGTTATGAGCACTTTTGAAAACGGCCAATTTTTGAAAAATACCCAAGGCTATAGCCCATGGTTTTTTTGGAAAAATGGTTCCGAAATCACACCCAATTTTTATTACATTTTCTGATACATATTGATGTACTTATGCTGTGTAGAAAGTGTGAACTGATTCCGACTTCAGTTTTTTAAGTTATGAACATTTTTTTAAACAGCCACATTTTTGAAAAATACCCAAGGCTATAGCCCATGGTTTTTCCGGAAAAATGGCTCCAAAATCACCCCCAATTTTTATTACATTTTCTGATACATATTGATGTACTTATGTTGTGTAGAAAGTTTGAACTGATTCCGACTTAAATTTTTCAAGTTATGAGCACTTTTAAAAATGGCCAATTTTTGAAAAATACCCAAGGCTATAGCCCATGGTTTTTCCGGAAAAATGGCTCCGAAATCACCCCAAATTTTTATTACATTTTCTGATACATATTGATGTACTTATGCTGTGTAGAAAGTTTGAGTTGATTCCGACTTAAATTTTTCAAGTTATGAGCATTTTTTTAAAACGGCCAATTTTTGAAAAATACCCAAGGCTATAGCCCATGGTTTTTTCGGAAAAATCGCTTCGAAATCACCCCCAATTTTTATTACATTTTCTGATACATATTGATGTACTTATGCTGTGTAGAAAGTTTGAGTTGATTCTGACTTAAATTTTTCAAGTTATGAATATTTTTTTAAAACGGCCAATTTTTGAAAAATACCCAAGGCTATAGCCCATGGTTTTTTCGGAAAAATGGCTCCGAAATCACCCTTATTTTTTATTATATTTTCTGATACATATTGATGTACTTATGCTGTGTAGAAAGTTTGAACTGATTCCGATTTAAATTTTTCAAGTTATAAACATTTTTTAAAAACGGCCACTTTTCGAAAAATACCCAAGGCTATATATACATGTAGCCCATGGTTTTTTTCGGAAAAATGGCTCCGAAATCACCCCCAATTTTTATTACATTTTCTGATTCTTATTGATGTACTTATGCTGTGTAGAAAGTTTGAGTTGACTGCGACTTAAATTTTTCAAATTATGAGCATTTTTTAAAGCAACAATTTTTTTAAAAGTATGGACTTTTGCTCATGTTTTTTTCCACAGAAATTACTATTATTTTTATTACATTTTCTGATGCCTATTATCATGCTATCTTTATTCTCCTTTTCTTCATCCTTTCTCTATTTAGAAACGTAACGATGCTCAGCCTAGAAAGACTCCTTGTGGTGAAAACTGCTTCATTCACAAACTAGACCAGAAAACCTTACAGTCCCTCGTCCTCAAGAACTCTCCATCCGGCTCCCAAAAACTCAAAGAGAAGAAACGTCGACC